GTTTGTGTGTATGTTTTTCTTTGTTTGTGCTATTCTTTTTATATTTGTTTTGCCTTTATGGAAATATCAATAGACAGTTGTTGTCATTGTATTTATTTATTTTATTGTCACTAGAGGTTGATATTTCTATGTTCTCTTTGAATGGTTTCCGACTGATTACTCTCTTGCAACTGTCATTAGTCTAATATTTTCCTTACCTTTTGTGTCACATTACCCCACTCCCTCTAGAATGTAAGCTCATTGAGCAAGGCCCTCAACCCCTCTGTTCCTGTGTGTCCAACTTGTCTGATTACAACTACATGTCTGTTCGTCCACCCACTGTAAAGCGCTGCGGAATTTGTTGGCGTTATGCAAATAATAACACAATAATAATAAATAACATAATAATAACTATCTTTTATTTTTACACAAACATTTCATCTAATATTTCTAAACCATGTTAACTAACAAAATTAATTCCGTTACATAATCTTTCCACTGCCTATAGGCATAATCTTTGTTGTATTATTTTAGGAAGATTATTACAATGCAGGATTAACGGGTTTATGTTATTATATAAGGATGTCTGTTACATAATTTACCATTGGAGGAATGCGATTCAATTTGTGTACTTGGATTTTGGTATTCCTCCAGGTAAATTACAAAACAAAAAAAATGCTATGGGAGATAATATATTTGCAGAAAAAAAACAAACTATAACAAATGCAGAGATAAATATTGGAACAAGACCTGCTCGGTACTTTTACCTTTTTTAGACCAGAGTTTTTTGTCCTTAGAAACTTGTGGCTCAGACATTGCTTAGACACATTTCAAGTAGATTGTGCAAATGATCACATATTATAATTATAATTGAAGTGCTGCTATTTTTGAGGGACTAAACCAGAGCTTATATAGCAAAGTGTCTGTATATCACTGTGGAGATAAAATACTGGTAATAAGCCATGTGTTATTGTATAGTAGGACTCAATAATACAATCTATTGTACTTTATAATGCAGGCATCCCCCACCACCATCAAAAGTGCATTATCTATAGTCCTCAGTATCTATGCTTAAAGGGACACTAAAATCAACAAAACATCTTTAGCTTAATGAAGCAGTTTTGATGTGCAGATCATGCTCACTGCAGTCTCATTGCTCAATTTTCTGCCATTTAGGCGTTAAGTCACTTTGTGCATCCCTAGCCACACCTCCCTGCATGTAATGTGCACAGCCTTCCTAAACACGTCCTGTAAAGTGAGATCTAATGTTTATACTTCCTTTATAGCACAGTCTGTTTAATTAAGAATATATTATCTTATGCACTGTTAATAGTTGCTAGACCTTGCAGGAGTCTCCTCTGTGTGATTAAAGTTTAATTTACAGAGGAGGAGATAAAAACGTCTAAAGTAAGTTAACATGTGATTGAAAATTTAAAAAAAATTCACGCAGGCAGTGTAAATCACAGCCTGGGGAGATGTGGCTAGTGCTGCATAAACAGAAGCACATGTAATTTGGCTCCTAAATGGCAGATATTTGAGCAGTGAGACTTCAGAGGCATCATCTATACACCGAAACTGTGTCATTAACCTAAGGTTTTGGTGACTATGTTTTCTCTTTAAGGAAATCTTTATATCTGTTTTCATTCCTAAACTACCTTTATTTTGCTCTATATTCTTACTCAGGAATGATAGTGTAGGCAAAAAAAAAAAATGAGGAAAGACTATGTAGATAAGAGACATATTAAGAGTCACATAGGGGAATTTGAACATCAGTGTATTTAACTTCCTGCGGTCTCAATGTTCTCCCTTTCAAATTACCTTGAATTCTCAATTTAGTGAATAGCGTGATAGTGCAGTTCGATTCCAAACCAACAAACTATATCACACTGTCATAATAAAGACATGCCCCACATTCATACATCCCATAATGTTTATAATATTAACCTCATCTTTATCCTGGCTAACATATTGACCATATTTTGGAAGATTGTATTGCATCCAGTCTCAGAGGTTTGCCACGTGTCCTTTCTCTGAAAAGTCAGTCATTCTCTGAATTGTCAACTTTCTAACTTTTAGAATCAATCCCACAAACAAGTCTCTGCTAATTGTTTGTTCTGTGTTGCTTTGTATATCTTCCTGAGTGACTGTGTAACTTAGTGACTTCTTCAGTTGTGTCAATAACAAACCCTAGTATCATTAAAGGAACACAATAGCGTTAGAAATACAAACATGTTTTTCCTAACGCTAAGGTATTACCAAAGCTTTACTCATCTAATAGCAAGCTGTGCACTGGTCTTGCCTCAGCTGAAACATTCCATGTTGATCTCAAGCAATCCAATACTCCTAAAGAAGAATTGGAAGGTGTCACGGCATGCCCTACTCACTCCCTGGATGTCACGTGTTTCTCGGTGTCCCAGGAGTGAAAGAGGCACTCCATCTACCTCCTGGTGGCCAGCTGTCTCCTCCACTCCTCGACAGTGAGCTGTTAGCACAAGAAGCGCAGTTGACACAAGGTGCACCGCTCCCACTCCGGTTCCCCTGGGCCTTGCGACTGCCCCACATGGGTTGCTGGGTGCGGGGGAACGGATGCAAACTCTGCCCATCCGCCAGCGAACCTCTCCTCTGGCAAACAGATTAAGTGGCATGTATGCCATGTCCCAAACTCTGCCCCAGGATCCCCTTAGGCTGTCAGAGCCCTGGGGGACCCATGCTGGTTTTCCTGGAAGCAGTGTGGAGAGGAGCTTTTAGTAAACAAACAAACATAGTGTCCAGCCCACATAGGATGTGTGGACACCTACTCACCCAGAGGAGCCTTCCAATTATATAGGCCCTTAGACCCCTCCTCATGGGAGGGCTCCCATTCCATTTTCCCTATTTAAGCACAGACCACACTAGGGTCTGTGCTCAGTTGTTTTGTTGTCTCCCTAGAGTACAGAACAAGATCCTGCTTGACGTTATTTGATTATCTTCTCCTGTTGGATTTCATGAATTAACTCTTGTCTACCTGAATTCTGGTTAACCTCTGCAATCCTATTCCAGTCTTGGTTAACCCTTACAATTCTACTCCAACTTTGATCAAATCTTTGCATCATTTGTCCAGTGCTGAAGCTTTGGTAAAGAATTTACTTTTCACATTTAGAACTTTTATTTCTTATCAAGATATTGCCTTATTTTCTGCTTTTGTTTTGCATTGGGACTTTTTCAGACTTAAATCTTTGCATACTGAGCCCATTCACCCCAAACCAGTGACATAACAACTTAGCTAGTCATGGAGCTTGCAGAGGCTTTAAATACCCTGATCCGCCAAATGAATTCCCTGGGTCAGACGGTTCAAGATCTGCAGACAGGACAAATACAGCTGATGGCATCACCTACTTATCCAGCTCATCTTACTCCACTTCAGGCCGATGAACCTCATGCCCCTGAACCCTAGGTCCCCCTGCCTGAGCTGATTTTCAGGAGAACAAAATAAGTATGATGCTTTTATTATGATTTGTGAATTATTGTTTACTTTAAAGTCACGTACTTATCACAACAACGTTATAAAAATACGAACTGTAATTTCTCTTATGTCAGCGGAACCCAGAACTTGGGTTCATAATCTCCTCCTTAACCAAAGCTTTCTCCTTAACAAGTAGGACTCCTTCAAATCATGTATGGATTCTCACTACGAGGATCCAAACAAGACCACCACTGCTAGGTCTACCATACGGACCTTAAAACAAGGGAAAAGACCCGTAGAAAAGTATATTACAGATTTTCGTCATGTGGCTGCTGATACTGCTTGGAATGAAAGAGCTCTAACGGATCAATTTCATCTCGGCCTGTCTGAGACATTAAAGGACATACTTTCCCTTGTTGGAGTACCCGACACTTTGGAGGACCTCATGCATCTATCAATACAGATTGATAGATGATTTGTATTCCTAGCACAATAGCATCCCTTTAAACATGGCAGTGAGCCAAAAAATACAAATATACTCGGCCCTTAAACATCCCTACCTAGGACAGGAAAATAGACTGAGGGGTTCAGAGGGGAAGGGATTTTCATTAACATTTCATAATTTTGAATTAGCCATTCCTGTCCTGATAGCTGGGGGGAGCTAACCCATAGGTAATACTGCCATGTTTGGCCAGGAAATATAATTTTTCTTTTTTAGCCAAGAGGTCTTTCAAATGTTAAATTAATTACAAATATTTGAATAAAAAACAACATAAACACAGTGGGAGACATTTTATTTCAGAGAATTCTGAACTTTTAGTAAAACTGCTGTTGACACGTGAAGCTTACAGAATACTTATTCATGGAGCCCCAAAGCAAAAAAGGCAAATACTTATTTTTCTTAATGGAAATTCCGTCCGAGTCAAAGCACGAAAAAATTCTCAACACATTCCTCCTGAAGAATATGTAGCGTTCATTCAAGCTCAACAGCCCAAACCTGTATTGTATCTAGTCTCACCGGATTTTTTTAGAAAAGTCACTCTTTCTGTGAGAGTCAACACAAGAGTTTAGGTTCATGCAAACAAGTCCTGGTTGGGTCTTCCCAACATTGCCTAATCCAACTTCAAATGTAACTTTCACAACTTATGTCAAACATTTAACGAACACTCGCATCATTAATTATTGGTATCATTAGTTAATTTCTTTTAATTAAGAATCAATGACCTGTAAGTTTAATAGTGCAAAAAAACACAGGTATAGTGGTGTCTCTGCTTTAATCAAATTCACTCTTTTCATGCAGTGGTACATGATTTCCTCCTTTGGAACCAGAGATAGATTTTGCCTTTTGTACAAGACTGATTTAAAGCATTAGCAATTCCTGAGTGACAGCCACTAGAGGTGTTACTAGGCAGCAATGTAAACGCTGCCTTTTCTCTGAAAAGGCAAAGTTTACATTGCTCAGTCTGCAAGGACAGGCTATAGACACCAGAACCACTACATTAAGCTGTAGTAGTTCTGATCACCATAGTTTACCTTTAAGTAATTGTCATAGAAGAGGATCAATGACGTGTTAGTAATAGCTTTAACTTACTGAAACGCAGGATTACCTATGAGTTCTACTCTACCAAGAGACCTTACAGCTTAGTTATCCTTTACCATGTTTGACAGATGGCACTGAATCTTTATCTTCTTTTGGAGTGAATTGGGTTGTTGATGGAGCAATGCTGCTCGGAATATTTTCAGATTCAAGCTCTCTGATTGAGGCATATCTCTAGAGACCTTTAAGATTGGTATTTTAAATTCGGATTCTAAGCATGTACAGCGATAGAACAACATCACACAAAAATAGCCCACATACAGACATCGGGCTCGAATAATTTGCACCTATTTGGTGCAGGATAATAATTTTTTATGATTAATGTATCAATCCATTATAAGTAATATACCGCGAAAGAAATAAGTTTAGATTTTTTGAAAAAGTGATTACGGCAAGCAAACAGGTTTCTAATCTATCTATGTTTCATAAAATAATTTTTTTAAAACCTACTTAGCAGAAGAAAAAAATCATGGAAAATTCATAAATTCCAATTCATATGAAACTAATAAGACATATTGCATAACATAAACATAGTAACAACTTTGATATAGATTTATCCATGGTGGAGCATGAGCTCATCAAAGGTTTTCCATTCTTGATAAAGAAAAACATTATCACAGTCTGAAGGACTGGACCATTATCACCAGAACCCTTACATTTAGTTGATAAATACAAATTATATATTTAGTGTTAGAGTTGTGACTTTTGTCTTTGATAAGTTGGCTTGTTGACAGATACACTGCCAATAAACCAGAACTAATTGCTGAAACTAACTTTGGTCTGGTGGCAATAAACTCTGTTGAATGATTAATTTTCTCTATGAAGGAGATGTATTCACTAAATATCAAATTGTGATCATTTGACAATGATCTTGAAAAATGTATTACAAAAAAAGACAGATGGAAAAACCTCTCTAACCCAGATTGGAATGTTTGTCACTTAGTCATTGTTACTTGAAAATCTCTATTACTCACTGCAATCCACTGTTTATTCAATAAACATAGAGAATATAGTAAGTGCAAAAGAACAGACCTTCTACTTCCTCCTCCCCAGGCACAGCGAGATGTGGGGATGGGATGATATTAAATATGTAAGGGTCCACAGTGACTAGTAGTCTCCATCTATCAACCTACCTAAAATCCCACTCCAACCCCACCACAACATGAAACATTCTACCTACCAACATTCCAGAATTTAGAATTTTGCTTTTTGTCCTGCCTTGTCCTGTTTTTTTTCAGCATGTAATATTTACTTATTTATTTATATATGTGTTTATGTTACAATTATAATCGGTTATGTTGTTTAGGAGGTCTTTGAGCAAGACTTTGACAGGTATGTATTATTATTATTAGATGAATTATATATTATATCATGGCCCAATCCAAAGGCCACTTCTCTATACTAATTCTTCTTGACCGCTCCGCTGCCTTTGACACTGTTGACCATGTCCTCCTTCCACAAACTCTTCAATCCTCTGTGACACTGTCCTCTCGTGGTTCTCATCCTATCTCTTGGTCTTGGTCCCCTTATGTTTTTGCTTTACCCTGCCTCTCTTATCAAACTTAATAATTCCCTTGGATTTCGCTACCATCTTTAGGCAGATGACACCCAAATATATTTCTCCTCCCCTGATTTCTCCCCTGCTCTCCTAGAATATGTCACCACTTACCTCTCTTTCATATATGATTGGATGTCCTCATGCTTTTTGAAAGTCAGATTCTTCCTGGAAGTTGATGGTACCCACATCAACCGGGATTGCAAGCTCGCTGTCTTGTGTTATCTTTGATTCTGGCCTCACCTTAATACCTCATGTCCAGTTTGTTGCCACAATCTGCCGATTCCACCTTAAAAATATTGCCTGCATTCTTATGCAAGATGCTACTAAGGAGCTTCTTTATACTCTAGTAATTTCTCACATTGCTTCTATTCTCTCCTAATTGGTCTCCCCAGAAGCCGTACTGCCTTGCTACAGTCTGTAATGAATTCTGCCACCAGGTTGATTTTTCTCTCCTGTCGCTCCTCTCACACTCGCTGTCGATCCTTACACTGGCTCCCTGTACCGAATAGGAGTCAATTCACAATACTAAGCCTTACCTGTAAAGCCCTAATCAACTCTAGAACCTAATTCATAGGTACACTCCTTCTTGGTCTCTCCACTCTTCCGGTAACCTTATCCTGTCCATGGCTTACACTATTACTGCTAGCTCATGCTTGCAAGACTTCTCGCAAATGGCTTCTTTTAAACGGCTTGCCTACATTATAAGATTCTCCCCTAGTCTTTAATCATTAAGATGTCCTTCAAAACCCACCTCTTCAGTAAAGCAACCTGTCTGATGCTTTCTCTTAAAGTACCACAATCCACCCTCACCTTTCAGTTCTGCTACTTTCCCACCTGGTTGCTATCCCCTTCGATGCCTTTCTTGTTAAGTTTTTATACCGCACCTTCTCTAGATTGTAAGCTCCTTGGAGCAGGGTCCTCATCAACCAAGTGTTCATTTAACATTTTGTAATTGTCTCATTTATTGTAAAATTTCCCCCTATATAATATTGAAAAGCTCTGTGGAATAAGTTGGAGCTAAATAAATGCCTATAATAATTATAATTAACAGGCATTTTTTATTCTTATTTCTTTATACCCCCATAGTTTTCAGATGGAAGCAAGATGTATCTTTATTTCATTTTTGGATGGGTGTGCAGTTGAGGGAAATTTGGTAGATCGGGGCTTGGGGACACCTGTTACCCGAGGGGATATATTTTTACTATATAGGACCTGAGGAATTTGTTTATTTATTTTCAAGTCCATATAATGTTTGGTGTAAGCAGCTCTAATTTGCCTCCGCTGTGTTTTCATCTAAAGTCATGAAAACAACAAACTTACTCTGGGGGAAAAAAATCACTCAGTAGTCAATCTGCAAGCCATGCTGGCAAATAGTACAACGTGTTTTGTTTTTCTAACTTCTCTACAATCCATTTCTCTCCTTTTTACTTGTTTTCTTCTGCCTAGTATATTACCCCTATATTTATTCTGCGGACTTTGATCCTTGGGTCAACCATAAAAATGTCTGAAACATAACAAATTTTACACTTATCTCAATAAAAAAAAAAAAAAGATGCATTGCATGGTGTGGGATAAATGGTAATTTCTCTGAAAACAAACAAGCAAATCAAAACAAGGCTGCTTTGTTATCGCGTGGCAGTGATTTCATAGCAGTTAGAACATTGTGTCACATCATTAGTGCTGTAAATCTCTGTACTAGCTCAAAGTCCAAGCTATAAATACAAACAAATCTCAGACTTCATGTTAAAGTCCAGCAAGTCAGCTCTTCCATGGATGCAGAGTGTGATAGAGATCTCTTGTTTTATGTCATTCTCTTTAGATACCGTGATCCCCCATCAGTAGTCTAAAAACACATTAAAAGATCGATTAAAGTACAAACATCACAGTTTTATTTATTTTCTTAATTCATTTTTTTTTTTATTTAAGTTACATTTATTTCGCTTATACACAGAAAATGTGATTTTTTTATAACTTTTTTTTTATTGAAAAATAATGGAGGATAGGCATAGTTAGGTAGTTAGCAGATATGTATGATAAGTCAAAAGAGTGGTAATGTAAAAAAATCTCAACACTACAGAAGGGCAAAAGACGAGCATTACAATTTGAAATACAGTAAGTGACAATTTAAACAAACAGCAAAATGCAAAGGCAGGTCGATAATGTGTGAATAGAATGTTCAAAATGTAGCGATAAACCATTTACAACGACCAGTTGTAGAACAGCTGTACATCGAATCAAATCTATTCTACAGTCATAAAGGTGGGAGGGTAAGACTATGGGGAAAGAGGGGGAAAGGAAGGTGAGAAAAGAAAAACTGAGTTTGTTTTCATTCATTCCATAAATATAAACTAATTCCTTGGTATGGGCCTTCTTTCCTATGTTAATGCCTTTTATGTTTAGTAAATTCCTGTTAACTGTGCAGTGGACTTTCCAAGTTACAGAAAGCATCATTTAGCTTTGTTAAAGGGAAACTATAGGCTAGGAATACAAAAATGTATTCCTAGCCTATAGTGCCCCCCTCGCTATGTGTTCCTTAGTGCTGGGTCAGGCTCCACCTTCGCTACTCCTCCACCAACAACACCTGACGTAGGAGACCTAATGCACATGCGCGGCGAGCTCCACAATCGCATTAGGATAACCTCATAGGAAAGCATTGATTTAATGCTTTTCTATGTGTTTTAGCTGACGCTGGATGTCCTCATGTATAGTGTAAGGATGTCCAAAAGACGCATAACCACCCGGAAGCGCCTCTAGTGGTTGTTTAGTAGACAGTCACTAGAGGTGGAGTTTACCCTGAAAAGTAATTATTGCAGTTTCTTAAAAAAACTGACCACTTTAATGAGCTGAAGTGATCCGGGCTTCAATGAGCTGACGTGGTATGGGCTTCAATGAGCTGAAGTGGTCTGGGCTTCAATGAGCTGAAGTGGTCTGGGTGCCTATAGTGTCCCATGAAGCTTTCTCACTATTCACTAGCTACGGGACTATCAGTGTTTTGAGCCCCCAAAATCTACATACTCCATGTAAATACGTGTCACAATTATCCCATCACATGTCATGGTGATTTTAGGAGGCATTCTATGCACCATAAGTATTACAAATTAATGTAATACCGGAAACACTCTGTCAGGCAGAACAAGATCCCATTTACATTACCATGGACATAGGAACACTTACAAATCAAATGATGCAATCTATTACTAATATAATACAATTGAATACACCCTTTACTGAGAGAGCAGATTTTCACAGGAAAAATGTTACACTATAATGGGGCGGTTGAACGTCATATACTGTGTGTGGAGGGCAGCAATATTTAGAGAGAAGCACTTAGAATAGCTTATAGATCCTCCAAAGTCTGTTTACGTAACCTAGCCTATAAATAACCAAATTCTCAAAAGAAAATTATAACAGGAAAATGTAGATAAAAAAAATGTACACAAATTATCACATAAACCGTATGTCATAAATAGCTCAGTTATTCCAGTGAATTGATTTTGCATCTCATTGTTTAAAAGTCAATGATTTTAAAAGCTATAAGGCAAAGATAACCAACCTCTTTTAAAATAGTTTAAGTGATCATTCATAACAGCTTTACATGTGAACCTTCTATGGATCGTTGGTTTTGTTTAGTTGCCTCAAAACTAACCACGCAATCCACGCATTAA